GTCCTAGTACTTCCTGTAGGAAAGGTCTAGTAGTGACAAATGTTCTCAGCATTTACATGTGAGAAAAAGATGTGATTTCTTCATTAAATATGAAACTGAGTTTTGTTAGATATAGAATCCTAAGCTGACAGTTTTTCTGTTTGAGCAGATCAAAGATAGGAACCCACTTTCTTCTGGCTTGTAAAATTTCTGCTAAGAGATCACCTGTTAATTTGACAGGTTTACCCTTATAGGTCAATGCTGTTTATGCCAGATAGCTTGTAGAATTTTATCTTTAATTTTTACTTTGACCAGGCTAATTACAATGTGTCTAGATGGTGTTTGGGATAAGATCAAGTGTATGATGTGTCTAGGAGATGCTTTGTTTGAATTAAGTCATCCTGGAGTTTGCTAGTCATCTGTTAACTGTATGTTCAAGTTTCTGTCAATGCTTGAGAAATTTGTCACTATAATATCTTTAAGAAGAGCTTTCATCCTTTGGGGAGTCACTTCTTTCCCTCAGGGATCCTATAATTCATATGTTTGTATGCTCTGCACACTCCTTATCTCTCTAAGAGATTACTCTGCTCTCTTCTGTTCTGCCTCTTTAAATGATTGGGTTGGCTCAAGAGTCATGTCTTCAAGTTCTGAGATTCTTCCTTCTCCATGGTTCTTTAACATCTTTTTGTTTCCATCTATATCTTTTTATACTATCTCTCAAAAAGTTGTTGCAGTTATTTTTGATAGGTTTATTTTTTAGTATTCCTACTCCAGATATAGGTGGTTTATCCACTACAATTATAGCAACAGAGTATTTGGTTAAAGAAAAATTGGGGGCCAGCAAACTTAAAGGTTAAAATTTCTGTTTGTTTGCTTATTTGCTCATTTGTAATTGGCCATAAGATGTTCTTTGCAAGCCTTACAGTAATCTCAAATGAAAAAACGTACAACAGATACACACACAAAAAACCCCAAGAAATTAAAACATGCTACCAGAGGAAATCATTTTTAAGAAAGGAAGGGAGGAAGTCACAAAAAAGAAAAGACCATGAAACAGCCAGAAATGAAATAAAAACATAGCAGTAGTAACACTGAGTGTGAACAGACTACACTCTCCAATCAAAGGACATAGAGTGCCTAAATGGATTACACACAAAAAAATAAGTGCCAACTATATGATGTCAGAAACCTACTTCACCTTAGACACACTCAGACTGAAAATAAAAGGAAAGAAAAAGATATTCCATGTAAATGGAAACCAAAATACAACAGTCTCTTCATAAAAAGAGACAAAGAAGATCATTATATAATGACAAGGTCAATTCAGCAAAAGGATATAACAATTCTAAATAATATGAACCCAACATATAAAGCAAATATTACTTACAATAAAGCAAATATTACTTATTAGTATTACTAAAGCAAAAGAGAGAGACAGAACCCAATATAGTAATCATTGGAGAAGTCAAAACTCCATTTTCAGTACTGGAAATCAGATCATCCAGACAGAAAATAATCAAAGTGAAGAGATAATATATAGAACAGTAGAAAATGTCTGTAAACTATCTGACAAGTATTAATAACTAAAATATATAAAGAACTCTAACAACTCAATAGAAAAAACCAAATAATCCTATTGAAAATGGGCGATGGATTTGAATAAACATTTCTCAAAGTAAGACATATAAATGGTCAATGTTCATATGAAAAAAATTTCAACATCTAGTCAGCATAGAAATGCAAATCAAAAGTACAATTGCACCCCAGTCAAAAGTTTATCAAGATAACAGGCAATGACAAATGTTGGCAAGAACGTGGAGAAGGTAGAACCCTGGAACACTGTTAGTGGGGATGTAAACTACTGCAGCCACTAAGGAGAACAGTATGGAGGTTCCTCGACCCAGCAATCTCTCTGCTAGTTAACATCCAAAGGAGGGAAATTCAGTATTTCAAAGAGATATCCACATTCCCATGTTTACTATAGCACTATAGCTAAGGTCTGGAATCAGTCTCAGTGTCTATCAGCAAAGGAATGGGTAAAGAAATTGTGATTACAGGAAGTCCCTGGGTTAAAAATGAGACAGGTTCTGTAGGTTTGTTCTTAATTTGAATTTGTACATAAATTTGGAACAGGTAACTACCTATTACTAGTAATAGCCTCCATTCACAGGTGTTAGTTGTATGTTAGGTGGATGTTTGTAACTCAGGGACTGCCTGGACATAGTGAAATATTATATAACCATAAAAAGAATAAAATCCTGTCATTTGCTACAACATGGATGAAACTGGAGAACATTATGTTAAGTGAAATAAGCCAACCACAGAAAGATAAATCTTGCATGTTCTCATTCATATATGGGAGCTAAATGTGAAAAACAATTTATCTCATAGAAACAAAAGATGTAATAATTTTTAAGGGGGTGCCTAGGGAATTACAGCTAAGAAGAGTAGTTTCTATTGCAAGAGTAGAAAGTCCGAGGAGCTCAGGGAGTTACGGAAGAACCAGAAGTCACAGTAAGGCATTAACTTCAAGAGCAGGAGTGAGCCGAGGGTAAAGGAAAGAGAAGAAAGGTAGCTCTGAGTGCCAGTAATGAGGACGTCTAAGCTGTCACCATGCTAAGGTGACAGGAGGAGTGGAATTGACAAGGCTGGGGACATTGGGATATCATAGGTTGAAAGAGTTGTCAACATGAATATTGATTGTCCTGATGTTGGCAAATGTAGAGGAGGAAGAACAGACCTGGCAGTGTTGGTGCATCCTGGGGAAAGGCAGAGTTGCCTTCAGATCTGCAGGTGGTGCCTCTGAAAGCCTGATGAGGATAATCTAATGGGGCAGAGAGAGCAGGGGCAGGGAGGATAGGAGGATGCCAGGGTCATCCCTTGGTCCTGTGATATGGGGTGGGGAGAAGAGGAAGCTACATGGAAGGAAAAGCCAACTTTCAGCAAGCAAGGGCTGGTGGTCAGAGGTGACCGCGTGAGGCCCAGCTCAGAGCAACTTGGCTGTGCTGGGAGCAAGTATTCCTGTCTCTTGTCTACTTTCCTGACCTACATGTTTGGCAGGCTATGGAGTGGGGTGGGGCAAAGAAGAAATATTAGTGTATTTTTTCTTTTCTCTCTAAAACTTATAATTTTCCCTGCTCTCCACTGCATGCCATGCTAATTTATAATTTCATCTCATACCACATTGCATGCCCCAATAACCATGATGTATTCTCACATGTTATTCTGTTATTATTTTAGAGGAAGCTGCCAGTATTACTTTCATCTAACTTTCTTCTAAGACAGTTCACAGTCTAGCCCCAGTGCTACTCAACCATCCAAAATTAATAAAAATCTGACAGATAAGCAGCTCAGATGAAGCATGACAGTGCACTGTATGCTGTGGACATTCCTGAGTTCCAGGATACTTCACAACGTGGAGTCTCAAGACTTTGAAATTTGTTCTCAGAGAGGTTCCAGGAAAAAAAAATGTTAATGTTGTCCATGAATCAGCCTAGAGAAGCAGCTGAGAGTGTGGGCTAAGGAATTAGACTGACTTGTGTTCAAACTGGCCAGGGGCCAGCAGGCAGCCCCCTTGGGCAAGTCTCATACCTTCTCTCCCTCTTGGGTTCCTCCTTCATCTTGTTTTTTTCTTGATCATAGCTCAATTCACCCTCGAGCTCTTGGGCTCAAGAGATCTTCCTGCCTCAGTCTCCTGAAGCTCTAGGACAAGGTCCTCAAAGTTTTTAAATAGGGGGCCAGTTCACTGTCCCTCAGACCATTGCAAGGCTGGACTGTGGGCCCTAGGACGAGTTGGCTGCTAAGCAGTACAGGCATCAGTGGCAAAAACACCTGGTGGGCCGGATAAATGTCCTAGGTGGGCTGCAAGTGGCCCACGGGCCATAGTTTGAGGATGCCTGCTCTAGGATTACCGCTGTGAGTCACTGCACCTGGACTAGATTGATTATTATTTTAAGGGGTATAATATCTGTTTCACAGTTTTCCTAGGGAGACTAACTGAGCTAGCACATACGAGGAACTCCACAGACTAAGTGCTGAATCACCATTACTACTTTTTTTTTAAAAAATGTTTTTCTTATTTTGTTTTGTGAGTTTCTGCAAGAGAGTTGTTTGGAAGCTAAGGTTTTATATATCTATCTCTATATTTTTTTAATCAGCAGCATTAAAATAGTTCATTTCTGATTCTTTCTTCTTACCATAAGCTCAGGTTCCTGAGATAATAAATTTTATTTTAGAAATTTATAATTAAAGGTAGTGAAAAACCAAAGCAGGAAACGGGTCCAGGGTGCAGAAGCTGTCACTGCAAGTGTGTCTACCCCTCCCTCCCTCCTCACAGCTCCACCCCATGCTGCTTCCTACTTTGCGACTGCTCTCATGGCAACCCTCAACTGATCTGTTGTGACCTTCTCCCACGAAACATGCATATACATTCTGTCATGGACACTGAAGCCATATGTGAATACCACATGCGTATCACCTTTGGATATAATGATGAAGTCGTAATAGAAACTCTTTATAGTAAGCTTGTTATTCTTCATTAATTGAAGAGTCACCCAAATCGCCATTTTTAAAAAACTAATGTACTTCATGTTTTTATCCTTGGAGGTTTTAGGCTACACATAAGAAAAAAATACTTGAATACTTAAGAATACTTAGCTCTTCTACTTTTAAAGGAATCCTAATACATTACTAGCAAAGTGAAGCAGGGAGTATTTTGGCTTAACTTCTGCAGGGAACACTCATGAAGGACCATGGTAAAGTGGAGGGTGTAAGGCCAAGTAAGGACACCCACAAGATGCATTTATTAAGTGGGCAGATATTTTTTAAAAGATTTATGATATGTTCTTAGAATTGTATCTCAGTCTTCTGTATTCTACTGATTGCTCCTTAAAGCAGCAGTGATTTCTGCTGGGTTTACTTTAACTGAAGATTAGAAATATGTTAATGTATGCAAAACAAAGACATGGGACAAAGTGACAGGAGCAGCACATCTTCCTAAAGCACGGATGTCACATACTTACTCCTGCACACAGGCATCTGGCAGGATCTTTCAAGAGGGAGCCCTGGGAGATCCCCGCACACGGTCTCACTGAGGGGAACGCGCCGGCCTTTGGCTGTCATCCTCTGACACACCTGCTCCCTCTTCTGGATCCCAGCACCACAGCTGACAGAACACTGCAATGAGAGTTGTGCAACAGAGTCAAATGGAGTGTGGGCGGGCAAGCCCAGCCAACAACAGCAGAGTCTCAAATGGCGAGACAAGGGGAATTTTAAGGATGAACATGCCAGTAAGAAAGCCATTTCCTAAACTTGAACATGTTTTTATGAAAACTCTTTCTCTTCCCTTCCCCTTCTTTTTTCTTTTTCCTTAAGTCTCTCCCTCCCTTCCCCTACTTACCCACTCCTTCCTTCCTTTCTTTCAAAATAGTAATTTCCAGTAATTTGTTGTCACAGGATTTCTTTTCTGGCATTACAATTCATATCTAATGTATCTGTTAGCTATTTATTTATATAGTAAGATGATTCTGAGCTTTTTTTTTAAAAAAAAAAAACCACAATGTATACCCATCACCATGAATTCAAGAAATAGAAATGGATAAAAAGAAAAGTAGCTTTTTTGTAAATCACCCAAACTGGCTATATGAAATAACAGTAATATATGATAACCTTTGTATGTTATGTGCAATTTCAGTTTAACATTTCAATACAGTTTTATTAGAAAAATAAGAAATTGAATTCAAAGAGTTTCTTAATATCTGACTTTTCTTTGCTGTGGTTAATTCACAAAAGGAAACTCTAAAGTTAGGAAATAAGATTAAAGAAGCCAGTAAGAGATTTAGGTAGTTATTTCTAATGACATGTTTTGACTTAAGAGAGTATCTATTGAGTTGCTGCTAAGGCTGAGGAAATAAGCACACTTACGTTTCCTCCTCCTCTCTCCTCTACAAATTCCAATTTGTTTTTACTATATTATTTAGATAATATTAGGATTTTTGATATTTATGTTCTGTTCTAGAACGCAATTGCTAGTTGATTTATCTTAATTCTATACTCAATTAAATTTACTACTCATCTTCTACCTGTTTTTTTTTTTTTAAACAGGGTCTATTCTTATTATTTAATAAGTTTGAGTTCTCTGTGGATTCTGGTTATCAGACCTTTGTTGGAAACATAACCTAGAAATATCCTCTCCCATTCTGAGGGCAGTCTACTTGTTTTTACTGTGTTCTTAGCAGTGCAGAAGCTTTTTAGTTTGATCGGAGCCCAGTAACATATTTTTGGTATTCCTTCAATTGCCCTGGGGGTCTTCCTCATAAAGTTTTCTCCCAGGTCAATTTCTTCAAGTGTTTCCCCTGTACCCTTTCCAAGAATCTTTATGGTTTCATGTCTTAAGTTTAAGTCTTTTATCCAGTGAGAGTCAATTTTTGTTAGAGGTGAAAGGTGTGGGTCCAGTTTCAGTCTTCCGTAAGTTGCCAGCCAATTCACTCAGCAACATTTGTTAAATAGGGAGCCTTTCCCCCAGTTTAAGTTTTTGACTGGCTTATCAAGGATCAAATGATGATAAGTGTCTGGATTTATCTCTTGGTTCTCAATTCTGTTCCATACATCTACCTCTCTATTTTTGTGTCAATACCATGCTGTTTTGATCACTATAGATTTATAGTATAGTCTGAAGTCTGGTAGCATGATTCCACCTGATTTGTTTTTATTTCTCAGTAATGTCTTGGCTATTGAAGGTTTTTTCTGTTTCCATATAAAATGAATTACTAGTTTTTCCATATCTTTAAAGTATGACAGAGGTGCTTTAATGGGGATTGCATTAAATCTGTAGATTGCTTTGGGTAGTATGGACATTTTAACAATATTGATTCTTCCCAGAGACCTGAACAGAAGCTTCTCTGAAGAAGACAGGTGCATGGTATACAGACACATGAAAAAATGCTCATCATCTTTAATCATCAGAGAAATGCAAATCAAAACCACTTTGAGATATCATCTAACTCCAGTAAGAGTAGCCCACATAACAAAATCCCCAAACTACAGATGTTGGCATGGATATGGAGAAAAGGGAACACTTCTTCACTGCTGGTGGAAATGCAAACTAATACATTCCTTTGGAAAGAAGTTTGGAGAACACTCAGGGATCTAAAAATTAACCTGTTGTTGGATCCTGCAATTCCTCTACTAGAAGTATATCCAAAAGACCAAAAATCACTTTGCAAAAAAGATATTTGCACCAGATTATTCATTGCAGCTCAATTCATAATAGCCAAGTCATGGAAGAAGCCCAAGTGCCGTTTAATCCATGAATGGATTAATAAATTGTGGTATATGTATACCATGGAATACTATGTAGCTTTAAAAAAGATGGAGCCTTTACCTCTTTTATGTTTACATGGAGGGACCTAGCACACATTCTCCTGAGTAAAGTATCTCAAGAATGGAGGAAAAAGTATCCAATGTACTCAGTACTTCTATGAATCCTACTTATATTTACTAACACTTTGTTATGAAAGAGAACACAACTATAGCCCAAGATGAAGAAGAGAAATGGAGTGGGAAGGGGGAGGAAGGCTTGATAGAGTGAGGGTAAAAAGTGGGACCACACCTATGGAGCATATTGCAAGGGTACAAGTCAAATCTGTCAAGTGCAGAACATAAGTATCTTGACACAATAATCAAGTAAATGAGGCAAAAGCTATGTTGATTAGTTTGATGTAACCACATCAGATTGTATAAAAAAACCAACACATACATTATACCCCACATATGCATAAATGTATTCATGATCTATGTGTATTTGACTTAATAAAAAATAAATAAATAAAAATAAACCAGGGTCTATGGATTCTTAAATGCTCTGTTTTGCACCATCATTGTATCTCATCTCAGGCCAGCAGATTTTCAAGAAGGGCTTATCAGGATGGTATTCTCAACTGCCTCCCTACATGAAGAGAAAATTCTAGGGTCCTGCTGCCTTTCCTTAGATCGTGTGGGCAGCTGTTCCTTTGTCATCTTGGATTAGACACCTCTGTGAAGGTGCTTGTTTGTTTGCCTTTTCTGTTTAGAGGTCTGTGGATTTTTTTCTTTATCCATGAAGTCCAGCACTTAATACAAGCTGTCTTGGGGGTCATATTTACTTGGCACATGGTTGTGCCATTATGACTTACAGAAAAAAAAGCTTTTATTAAAGGAAATTAATTCCCCTGATTTAATCTCTGAATATTTTTCTAATCTATTTGTTTTGTTCTCAACAAATACCAATTATGCTTATGTTTGACTTCCGCATCCATCACTGCCTACCAAACTAGTCTCCTGTCTTTGCTCCTTTCCATATCACTGCACCTGACTCACTCCAGCTTGTGCTCTGCATCCCTCTGTTCTCACTCATTTTCTTTACCTTTGTTGTTGTTCCCTAGATGTAATTTTCGTGACTGCTACTTTTCTATTTGCTCTTTTATTTTTCTCCTCAGTTTCCCACTGCCTGTTCCAGTCACCTTTCATCGCTTTCTGTTGTTTCATCTTTTTTCTTTTTGAGCTCAAACTTTAGTTTTAAGCCACTTACCCTGAGACATTATGATGATAATTCTTTGGGAATGCGGAGCCTGTTTGTTGGGACTTTTCTCTAGGAACAACTGTCTTTGTTATGTTGTCCATGTAACCTTGCTTTATGCTCTTTTCCCTAGACTTCCTACCTCCTCTTCAATTTTCTCCCTTAGTTTTGATGCATAGATTTCGTACTGGTGCTTAGAATATAGCTGGTGTGTGTGGGTCAGGGGAACAACCTAGGGAAATTTACATCAGTCTGTTGTCTTCAACTTTCTGTCACCAAATCTCTTAGTTTCTTTACTCACATCCTTCTTCAGATTTTGGCATCTGAATGGTTAATGTGACTGAGAAAAGAGCCTCTTACACAACTGGATTTCTGCGACACCATTCAGCAGTTGCTGCGCCCCACACCTCTTCAGCTCTTGCCCCCATCCTTGGCGAGGAGGCATAAAATCATGATGGCTTCTTAGCTCCGTCTCCAGCCATGGTCCTGCAGGGACGTTCTCAGCATTGTGGAGGACAGCTCATGTCCCCCATCTAGTCTCTGCAATCAAAGACTACTAAATAGGCCTTTCTGGACTGCTACACCTACTCCCAGGGAAAGCTGCGTCCTGCGCTGCATCAGAGGAAGTATGTGTCAGCTCTCAGCCTGCCTTCTCATTTGGGCCCAGATTTTATGGTCTTTGGCAGGTGTGTTTCATAATTTATAGTCTGGGATTGTAGCCATTTCATTGTGCATTGAAGGCAGAGTGTTCTGTCTTTTTCATTCTCTTTGTGGGTTTTTTCTTGGGTTTCAAAGGAGAGAAATGGAACTATTTAAAAATGCCATTATTGTTATCTTTTAACAGAAAGCCCTAATGGTGATTATTTTTCAGTATAGAGAAACTGTTTCTATGAGCTTTTGAACAAATATTTTTAAATTACTGCTTACTAGATTATTATTTAGTTTCTTAACAAGTCAAGTCATCATTTAGGAGTTTCCCACATAAAAATCAATGTCAACTTTTTATTAAACTACCATGTGAGTCATCTTCATTCATGCAAGAGCGTGGTTAAATAACTGCCAGTCACCACTCAGGAGACATTTCTAATGATGCATATTTGACTCCCCCCCCCCCATTGGTAGGATGGTTTGTAAATTTGTAAACCATTTTTCTGGATGGCAGTCTTATGTGACTGACTTTGTCTGATGAATTAAAGTAAGCATGCCATTTGAGAATGTTCACAATTCACAGGAGGGGAGATGTCACAATGAGTGCCATTAATTATCATTCACAAAGCAGTAACCATATGCAAACCTTTTCCTGTGGTAGATTCCTTAGGAAGAGCTCATGGGAACAATATACTCTGAACTTTTGCAGATTTGGAACTATCTGTGTGTGGCCTTCAAGCTTAAAGGTCAGTTTGGTAGGATATAGAATGTCTTTGGCTTGGTTGGGCTCTTAGAATCCCAGTGCTTTGGGAAGCTTAGGTGGGAAGACGGTTTGAGGACAGAACTTTGAGACCAGCCTCAGCAACATAGGGGTATCCTGTCTTTACAAATAAATAAGAAAAATTAGCTGGGCATGGTAAGGAACACCTGTAGTCCCAGCTACTCCAGGGGATGATGTGGAAGGATCACATGA